TTTACCATTTTTCTAGATCAGGACATTTTCCCAAGATATTTTCGTATAAGTTTGGTTTGCGAATGAATAAGAATTTAAATTTTAATATGGAAAATGTTACTCATACGCCATGTACGATTATGTACGGCCATGCGCGATTTTAGTCGTTAGTAGCTTAATTTTTTCGTAACTGAACCGGCTTTCACTCAAATAGTTACTAAATTTTTTTCTTTTTAAAAGTAAAATTTTTTTCATAAAAATGAAAATTTTCTTAAACTATGCTCACATAGATACTTTGCATAGCATAGATTACTTTGTTTAGATCAAATTACTTCACATAATTCACATATTTTTTCATTATTTCTATAGATATACATATGTGTGGTTTGTATTTGATTAAAAAAATGGTTGCATACCTTTAGGCATTTTTTTTTAATTTCCTTAGCAGGGGGGGCTAAAATAAATGTAAAATAGGTTTTTTCCTACAGTGCTATATACTTATTTTTTCAATTATCATGATGATAATGATACCGAGTCAATACCAAACAATTTTTAATACTATGTCGACTGCACCAAGTCGTTTATAAGTTTTTAAATCACATTTATGTGATTTTCCGCCATTTATAAAGCTCTTTGATAAATGAACTTTTATTTTCTTTTTTTTTTTTCTCCTTCAGATTACAACGACGAACCAAGCGGCACCGGTGCATTGGCTGGTAGTTTTGATAAATCCGTACTTCAAATATCAGATTGGTTGACGTGGGAACAAAATATGATAAAAATACAAAGTGTTGCCGTCGACGATGTGGATGCGGTGCGCATGGCCATCGAAAAGCAAGAGGTGAGTGAGTGCATACAGGATATGTGCACACATTAACACAAACCATTTGCTATGCTAGTGCATACCTACATTTTCGTACATACATGCTAAACTACACATTTATAGCAGAGATAGGACAATATTAAAAATCGAAATCGGTCACCGCTCGAGCACTTTCACATATCCGGACGTGTCCGGACTATTTATTCGTATGATGTGCACAACTTCTTTTTTTTTGCGCAACACACCAGTGACAATAAAATATTGCATATGCACGGCAGAGTGCTGATATTACCGTTTTTGATTGCCGCTCATATTTTGCACTGATTCAGTGCAATTTTACATACGTACCTAGGGCCACTGTACACTCACATATACCTACTATACTGTATATGCAAATGTTCCGTATTTAATTTGAATAACTTTTTTATTTACATTTTTTTACTTTTCACAGAAAGTTTTACGTGAATTGAAAATGAAAAAGCCGCAACTCAATGAATTGGTTCACACGGCTGAGGTGCTTAAGGGCGACGTAAAGCGGCAACAGTTGCAGGAGAAAGGTAAGTACTTGAGAAGAGGAAGTAAAGCTGAAAATGTTGAGTTATTAAAAAAAAAAAAAATAAGGGCATTCAGTGAAACTTTTTATTGCGCGAAACACTCGCTACCACTATTGAGACCAATACGTTGGCGATTTTAAATAGCTGGGCTGTGGTAAAAGCGCTCTACAAATTAAATGCCTTTTAATAGAAAGTGGTTGCGAGTTTTAATTTTTTGTATTATACATAAGTACCCTCTTAATTCAAAATATATTTAGTTTTGTTAGCTCTTTCGTTTGCGGAGGTTTGAAGCGCTCAGTACAGACAAATTACAATTTTAAAACCGATAACAAAGCGCTGAAATAATTTTTAGCAACAAATACACTTTTATTAGCAATCGTCTATACTCGCAGGCAGCTGTTGTCGATGCGATAGCGAATGTCTGGGAGTGGTGTCCTTGAGGGATATATTATTTGAGAGTGGTCAAGCTCTAACGAATTAGTAAAGTCTATCCAGGAGAAAGTATAACAATTGGTAGAGTTAGTCAGTCTTAACAGGGTTAGTTCGTTGAAAGAACACCCCTTGATCGGCAAAATCTCGACTCATTCGGTTACGCAGAACTGGCTTTTGTCGAAATTTAAGTTCAGTTTGGTTAACAGGGACTAGTAGGACATGGTGGCTGGAAGCTATAGATCTGTCATACCGTGCTTAGGACTACAATGACTTGTCTTTGGATACCTCTTGAACACGCTCTTCATAGCAAAGCTTTAATACTTCCCATCGGTGTATATAATTATTCTCAACGAGTAATATCTGCCTGGCTGCAACCCCAGAGAACTCCCGAATGGAAACATTCTGGTAGTAGCGTCACTTGTAGGCACAGATTTTATGTTTTTATATATATAGGCTAGAAGTAAACGATATTCATCGAGAGGCAATTACCATCTTTACTAACTCTCATTCTCTGCATACCGCCATTGACGTTCAACTAGCACTCATCGTAAACGAAGTGTTGCAATTACGGTATAGATCCTGTAGCAGTTGAAACTCTTATTTATTCAGACTCCACCTCGTCATATCCAATTTATATTCGGCTTGAGAAGTCATCCTTAGGGTACGTTCACACAGAAAGCGGAGCCGAGCCGAGCGAAGCCGTTCCGAGCTGAGTAAAGCTTTCGAATTGCTGTAGCAATATGAAAGTGTTCATACAATAAGCTTGTTCATAAGCGTTTTGGGGATGAATGCAAAGCAGCTTTTGATTTTGAATTTTCTATTAAATTTTTCAGCTTCATGACGCTGCTGCAAACAGAATAGCAAAGTAAAAAGGAATTTTACAAAAAATATTTAAAATAAAATAGAATTGAGCTAATATTTTTGCCGCTTTTCATTGACGGTAAGTTTTGTGGTACCTTTGCAGCCGAGTCCATGAGAAAAGCTCCGATTCGCTTCGTTCAGTGTGAACACCAGCAGCTTCGCTTTGTTCCGCCTTGCTTCGCTCAGCGCCGCTCGACTTTCTGTGTGAACGCGCCCTTATTGACCTAATCCCAGCCAGCCTGCCCTACAAAAGTGCTGAACGCTACGCCCAATCTTATCCCTATCGATCTTCAGCTGAGAGTAAATTCTGTAAAAAACTAAATACATATGTGGTAACCCACTCTTAAAATATTTTCTTCAGAAAAGTTTACTCAACCTCTTTAGTTTGATACCCGTATTGTAATATTTCATTAATTTTATGAATGTAAAAATTGAACAAAATTTTTAAAACCCTGCTCAAAACTATTTTTTTTGGCAGTGAACTTTCCCAAAACCTCTTCAGTTTGATAC